CCAAAACCACTGAGTCTCTTTTTATTGAGGATTTCTTACTGCAGTAGAATGCTGCCTAATAGCTGCTATATCCTGCTTGAGCGAGTATATTCTCCTCGGAAATCAAGCAAAGGTTTCTAATAGTTCTTGACAGAGTGTGGTCCCCTAAAGCTACATTTTCTGTCTGATTCATGCTGACTAACTGTAACCCTACGACAGTTATTGAAAGTTAATTAGCAGTGAAGTGCTAAGAGCTCTAAAAATGAAAATACAAGCGAGAACAGAATGCAGAGTGTCTCCCTTCCCAGAAAAAATACTGTCAAGAAGGTTAACATAACCGAAAAAATATTGCAAGTTGAAAATGTGAGAGGGATTCCTCTAATAACTTGGCTGTGATGGTCCCTTGTTGTGTAGACACACAGCTGAGAGGTAACATATTCCTAAGAGTTTATCAGGGACCCAGTATTTATTTCTTTATTAAATTTGCTAGAGGAAGTGCCTGGAAAGCTACACAGAGACAACACCCAAGTTACATAAAGACAAAGATATAAATCAATTGCTGCTTCCTTTGGGGACTCAAGTTTGTCAGATGTTGCACACGCCATCAAATCCCAACTATTTTTGCCCTTATCCTTCACTTCCTCAGTATTTGCAAGGAAAAATCCACAGTTAGATGCGAGCCCAGCCAGCTCCAAGCAGGCGTAGGAGGTGAGGCGAGGAGAGCCACAGCCCTGCACCACCCACTCCCTGCAGATGTAAGCGCCGAGACAAGGTGCGAGGCAGTGGGCAGCACCCTTCAGGTGTTAAAAAAGCCCATCCTGGCACTTCCAGAAGTTGGATAGAGCCCTAAACAATCAAAAGTAAAACTAGAAGCAACCTTCACGCAGAGAAGGAGCATTGTTTCAAGAACAAGGTAGGGAACGCATTGAAGCAAAGCAAGTAGGTTGGAAAAGCCAAATGTAGGGCTCAGTATAAAAATAGACAACAGTGATGCCAGAATGCCTTGGCAAAATTGTGTTTATTGATTTTCATGGAACAGGGAAAAAAGCTCCAGCCCTTTCCACCCCTGACTGCTGGCTGTGACTCACTAGTGATCTAAAATGACTGCAATGAGCAAGCAGGGACTGAGCTCAATTGGACCTCGCTAATGTCTTCACAGGCTTGACAGGGGAACGGTGTCCTTCCTGCCCAGGAAGTACAGAACAGCTGTGGATGTTCACCTCCATCACAGCATCTAACAACACTTCCTTCAGGCCCAGTCCTCTGCGTGGACAGAGGGTCTGTGATTAATGCGTGGTTCAGCGTCTGGCTCAGCCAGCGCTGCTTGCCGGCACCCCGGTGCCCGGGCTCGGCCCTTCCCTCGGGCTGGGAGCCGGCTGTGTAAGGAGGACATCAAACACTGTCTCCCGTTCAGCTGGGTGACTGCCTGGCTTGAGGTCTGCAAGCGTCCCGTTTGCTTTGGGACTACTTTACACCTTTACTGGGCAGCCAGCGTTCTGAGGGGATCGCACTCCAGGGACACGCTTTGGGCTGAGCTGTTACGTTCGATGGTGTTCCTCCTCCTTTCCAAGCGCACCCTCTCAACCCCACGGCAGGCGTAAGAGGAGCCGAGGGCGGCATGTCACACTCCAGACGGGCCCCTCGCCCCCGCACGGCTGCTCCGGCACAAGCGCCGGGTGCCGCGGGTGGAGCCCCGGCCCGCTGGCGG